CATTTCTTCGATGATTAGCGAGGCTGAGCATTTTTTCATGTATTTGTGGGCTGCTTGAATATCTTTTTTTGAGAAGTTTCTATTCGTATCTTTTGCCCAATTTTTAATAGGGCTGTTTTTTGTTTTTTTTTTTCTTCCTTTTGGCATATTTGAGTTCCTTGTAGATCCTGGATATTAGGTCTTTGTCAGATATATAGTTGGTAAATATTTTTTCCTTTTTTGTGGGTTGTCTCCCTGCTCTCTTAGTGGTTTCTTTTGCTTTGCAGAAACTTCTCAGTTTGATGAGGTCCCACTTGTCTATCTTATCTCTTATGGCGTGGGCATTTGGGTTTTGATCCGGAATTGGTTACCTGTTCCGATTTCTGTAAGGGTATCTTCTGCATTTTCTAAGATTCTTATAGTTTGAGGAATTGATTTTTGTGTATGCTAATAGGTAGGGGCCTGTTTTAGTCTTCTGCATGTGGCTAGCCAGATTTCCCAGCACCACATACTGATTAGGTTCTCCTCTCCCAGTGGGTTTTGGTGGAGTCTTTGTTGAAGATGAGTTGTGAAAGATGAGTTAGTTGAGAAATTGAGGTTTTGTAACAGATGCTGGTGAGGATGCAGAGAAAAGGGAACGCTTGTACACTGTTGGTGGGAATGCAAACTAGTTCAACCTCTGTGGAAAATAGTGTGGCGCTTTCTAAAAGAACTAGGAATTGACCTTCCATACAATCCAGCAATCTCCTTTCTGGGAATATACCCAGAGGAACTTAAATCACTCTATAAAAAAGATACCTGCACACGCATGTTTATTGCAGCACTCTTAACAATAGCAAAAACATGGAACCAACTGTGCTGTCCATTGAAACTGGACTGGATAAAAAAATGTGGTACATATACTTGATGAAATATTATTCAGCCATAAAGAACAAAATTATGCACTTCGCAGCAACTCGAATGGACTTGGAGTCTATAATACTCAGTGATTTATCACAGAAACAAAGAACTGGATAACCACATGCTTTTACTCATAAGCTGACCCTGGACATTTACCATAATACTATAAGAAAGGGATATTGGCAGTAGCCAGAAACTGCCACGGGAGCGTGGGTTGGGGGGGGCATGGGTAAAGGGGGATATCAGTAAGCGTACTTGATCTCAGACTAGGCGAAGTAGGGACCAAAGGGAGACCCAAACTTTACCTGTACGATGACCACTTGTATATCTAATCCTGAATCGTAACCCACAACTTTAGAGTTAAAAAAAAAAAAAAAAGAAATTGAGGTTTTGCTTCTGGAATCTCTATCCTGCTCCATGTGCCTGTTCTTGTACCATTACCAGACTGTTTTGATTATTGTAGCCTTATAGTAAAGTTTAAAATTTGCAAGTATGATACCTCCCACTTTTTTTCTTTTGCTAAGGATTGTTTCATCTATTCGTGGTCTTTTCTGTTTCCATATGAATTTCTGTTTTGTCATTTCCAGGTCTAAGAAGAATGATACTAGTAATTTGATGGGTATTGTGTTCAATCTATAGATTGCCTTTGGTAGGATGGACATCTTAACAGTGTTGATTCTTTTTTTTTTTTTGAGTTGGAGTCTCACTCTGTCGCCCAGACTAGAGTGCAGTGGTCACTCCGGCCACTGCAGCCTCGACCTGCTGGGCTCCCGCGATCCTTCCGCCTTAGCCTTCTGAGTAGCCGGAATTACAGGTGCGCGCTACCACGCCCGGCTAATATTTTGATTTTATTGTAGAGATGAGGTTTCGCCTGCCCAGGCGGGTCTCGAACCCACGGGCTCAGGCAGTCCACTCACCTCAGCCTCTCAAAGGTGCGGGATTACAGGCTGAGCCACAGAGCCCGGCTACAGTGTTGATTCTTCCAGCCCATGAGCATGGAATATTTTTCCATTTGTTTGTGACTTCTTTGAGCAGTGCTTTGTAGTTTTCATTGTAAAGGTCTTTAACTTCTTGACTAAGAAGATACCAAGGTATATCATTTTTTTCTGGCTATTTTGAATGGAATTGTGTTGTTGGGTTTTTTTTTTGAGTTGGAGTCTCACTCTGTCGCCCAGGGTGCAGTGCATTAGCACACTCACGACCACCCCAGCGGCTACCTGCTGGGCTTTGGCGATCCTTCCATCCCAGCCTTCTAAGAAGCCAGAACTACAAGCACTTGCTAATTTTTTATTTATTGTAGATACGAGGTCTCGCCAAGTTGCCCAGGCTGGTCTCAAACCTGCAGGCTCAGGCAATCCACTTGCCTCGGCCTCCCAAAGTCCTGGGATTACAGGCTGAGCCACCGAGCCTGGTAGGATTGTGGTTTTTTTCTTTTCTGAATTGTAGTCTCACTCCGTCGCCAAGGCTGGAGTGCAGTGGCATACTCATGGCCACCCTAGTGTCGACCTGCTGGGCTCTGGTGATCCTTCTGCCTCAGCCTTCCAAGTAGCTGGAACTACAGGCATGCACTACCATGCCTGGCTAATTTTTTTTTAATTATTGTAGAGATGAGACTTGGCCAAGTTGCTGGGGCTGGTCTCAAACCCTCAGGCTCAGGTAATCCACTCGCCTTGGCCTCCCAAAGTGCTGTAATTACAGGCTGAGCCACCGAGCCTGGCGGGGATTGTGTTTTTTATTTGGTTCTCTGCCTGTTTGTTGTTGATGTATAAAAATGTGACTGTCTTTTGCACGGTTATTTTGTACCCTGAGACTTTGCCGAAGTCCTTTATTAGTGCAAGGAGGTTTTGACAGATTCTTTTGAGTTTTTAAGTTATAGGATCATATTGTCAGCAAAGAGGGATAACTTAACTTCCTCTTTTCCATTTGGATAACCTTGATTTCCTTCTCTAGTCCGATTGCTCTAGCTAGGACTTCCAACACTATGTTGAATAGGAGGACCGAGAGTGGGCAGGCTTGTCTTGTTCTGGTTTTCAGGGGGAAATGCTTCAAACTTCCAACCGTTTAGCAATATATTGACTATGGATTTACTGTAGGTGGCTTTTACTATTTTGAGGTATGTTCTCTTTTATATCTTGGTGTTCGGGTTTTTTTTTGTTTTTGTTTTTGTTTTTTTTGAGTTGGAGTCTCACTCTGTCGCCCACACTGGAGTGCAGTGGCCACTCCCGGCCACCGCAGCCTCAACCTGCTGGGCTCCGGCAGTCCTTCTGCCTCAGCCTTCCAAGTAGCCAGAATTACAGGCATGCGCTACCACGCCCAGCTGATTTTTTTTAAATTTATTGTAGAGATGAGGTCTCGCTGCCCAGGCGGGTCTCGAACCCGTGGGCTCAGGCAATCCACTCCCCTCAGCCTCCCAAAGGCGCGGGATTATAGGCTGAGCTACCGAGCCCAGCTTCAGGGGTTTTTATCAAGAAGTTATGCTGGATTTTATTGAAAGCTTTGTCTGTATCTAATAATGTAATCACATGGTTCTTTTATATCTGTTGATGTATTTAATTACATCTGTGGTCTTGCAGGTGTTGAACCAACCCTGCATCCCAGAGATGAAGCCTACTTGATCATGATGGATGATTTTTGAGATGTGTTGTTGGATCCGATTTTCTAGAATCTTGTTGAGAATTTTTGCTTCTATACTCATCAGGGATATTAGCCTCTAGTTCTCTTTCTTTGTTGAATCTTTACCTGGTCTGGGTATCAATATGATGTTAGCTTCATAAAATGATTTGGGGAGAGTTGCCTGGAATACTTTCAATAGGATTGGTATTAGTTCCTCCTGGTCCAGGACTTTTTGTGGTAGGTAGTTTTCTTATGACAGAGTCAATTTCCTGGGTCTATTTAGGGTCTCAATATCATCTTATTTCAGCCTTCGGAGGTTGTGTGATGTCAGAAAGTCCTCCATTTCATTTAGGTTTTTGAGTTTGTTTCTGTATAGTTGTGCATAGTAACCTCTGATAATCTTTTGTATTTCTTCAGGGCCAGCTGTGACTTGATCCTTTGCATTTCTGATTGTGCTTATTTGGAGCTTTTTCTCTTTCTTGGGCTTTTAGTCTGTCTATTCACAGATGGTCTGTCTCGGTGGGAGCTGTCCTAGGTGCTGTGCATTCAACAAGATTATGTCCCTGCCATTTTAATAGAACTTATATTCAAGGGGATATAAAACACTTTGTTAAACACATGAGATTTCAGATGGTGGTAGTGCTCTGAAGAAGATAACTCTCACGTGTAACCTGGCCTCCATCCCTGTTGCACTGCTGAAAAGATTACTGCTTGTGACCTTTCAGTTGTTTAAACTTAATTATAGGATTTTAAGCCATACACAGAACTTAGAGAGGTTAATAAAGGGAGCTGTCGCTCTGTGCCAGCAGTTGTCTGACACAACAGCTGCTAGTGTTTTATATGCCCCTTCCTTCTCCCCTTTTTTTTCTTCCTTTGGTGTTTCAAAGCCAGTCCCAGACACTATATCACATCACCCTGGGCCTCTCCCTGGCCCTGTCCCCATGGCGCTTTACACCATTGACCATCAACAGGTGAGCCTGCCCAGTGACCATCCTATTCCTGTCCCTGGTGACCCCCTGTCTTTTGAGTCAGCCCCTCCCTGTTGCTCTTCTGTTCCATGTTCTTTGGCTGGTTTTTCTTTCATCCAGCTGTGTTATCACTTCTCAAGGCTTTCTCTGGTTAAAGTGTTAACCAAAATTTTAATGTTCCTTCTGCATTTCATTAAGAGAAAAAGCTTGCAAAGATTCAGAGAAGATTTTGTTCACTGATGTTATGTGTTTGGGAAATGCCATTTGGATGTTTTGCTGCTTTTATTCTTTGGCATTAATTTCAGTTGCTGTCGTAAAAAAGAATTCAGACATAAACCAGAAAAGTAATTAAATGGGTGGGGAAAAGAAAAACAGAAACAGTGCAGAACATGATATTTCAAGATCACAAATTACAAATGCACATATTTATTATTTCCCTATAAAATACAAACATAAATGTTTTCACTGATGCTTACTTTGTTAAAGATGTAGCAGAAATGAAGTTTACAATGAGGTGTCTAATTTCTTTTTCTGTTCTAGAATGTATGACAACATGTCCACAATGGTGTATATAAAGGAAGACAAGTTGGAGAAGCTTACACAGGATGAGATTATTTCTAAGACAAAGCAAGTAATTCAGGGGCTAGAAGCTCTGAAGAATGAGCACAATTCCATTTTACAGAGTTTACTGGAGACATTGAAGTGTTTAAAGAAAGATGATGAAAGTAACTTGGTGGAAGAGAAATCAAACATGATCCGGAAGTCACTGGAGATGTTAGAGCTTGGCTTGAGTGAGGCACAGGTACGAGTGAGAATGTCTTAGATGTGAACGTGAACTTGATGGTTTGGAAAAATGGAGACTTTGTTTGGAATATGCAGTTTCACTGAAGGAGAAGGAAGTTGCTTATAAAATAACCGATCCAATTATATGTTGTGTGTGCTATATAAATGACTATTGATTTGGGCATATCTGAATTTCAAAAAGCAGAGCTAGAATAGTGGGTACTATTGTGTATCATTTAAGATTTGATTTGGCTGCCTATATCAAAAACAAAACAGACATGTAAAACAAGTGCCAAGGTGTGCTGTCCTGGTCAGGGTCTGTAGCTGCTCTGCCATCAAGGCTTCTGCCATCTGCCACACTACACCTTGGTAGCCTGTCTAGGGGATTAAGAGGGTGCTCTGGCCACAGCCACATGACTGTTATAGCACGAGGGAAGGGACAGGAAGGGTGTGCCTCCTCTCTTGAAGGCTGCTTCCTTGAAATTATGTATAACTCTTCTTACATTTCATTGGCCAGAACTTCCTTCCATGGCCACACCTAGGTGTGAGGGAGGCTGGGGAATGGTGTCTTCCCACTTGCATGCTGTGTTTGGAGCCTAAGGAGCATGTAAGGAGAGGAGAATGGACACTGGCCAGCAGCTGGTGGCTCTGTAGTACCTCGGGGTCAGATTGCTTCACGTGTTTGATTAACTTTTGTTTCTATCGTGCTCAAGTGGATAGAGCAGAAGAGAGGCTGCTGCTCACCAGTGTCTGCTTTCATAGAGGAAGTGCTGTCCACCCCCAATTTTAGAGTTCTGCATCCTAACCATGTTACTGGCTCAAGTTGTAGAACTGTAGCTTTGCTTGGATATTGTGAACCTATTTTTCTCAAGTTCTGTTGTTAAAAGGCGATATGAACTTGAACTTACTTTTTTAGTTTGGAAGATAAGCCAGATATCTTAGAAAGGAAGGAAGGAAAAGCCCCACCATCTGGAGTTTAAGGTTTTAAACCTGGGAGGGTAAAAATGAGGTTGTTATATTATGAGAGAAAGAGCAGATACATGATCTAAAGCAAGAACAGACTGGGCCCTCTGGCTCCCACACAGCTCTTTCCACTCTTACACTCCGAGGAACTGCTTATGGCTTCAGGCAGTCCTGTTCAAGAAACTAACAAGCACTTCCGGTAGAGTCCTGGAACAGCTGCTGGATTACATGATGTGACATAAGCTCATGTGTGCCCCAGGGCATTCAGACTCTTGGTGGTAGCTACAGAGATGTCCTCCTTCACCTTGGAACATGGAGGATGATCTGCATGTGTCCTCTTTCCCGACCCCACCACCAGCCCCTCACCAACCTGCACTCTGTGTACATCTGCATGTGTGTACTCACGGTCTCACACAGGGGAAAGGGTCTATGAAAGTTAGGTTGAAGTCATTCTTATAGAAAGTAAAATAATAACATTTCATCAGAAGAGTAGCTGTTCATTGCTAGTCCATCTGAGATGCTCTCAAATAAAAAAATAGTTTTTGTGTGTATGTTCTGAGCATCTGATATTTTATGGCTGAAGGGAAAAGAGAAATAAATGGCAGATTGTACTTCTGTGTACTCTGGAGAAAACTCCTGTGAGTATAAGCTAGAGCTACAACATAGACTGTTCCTGTAGATGGCAAGGACTTATGCTGTTGGATAGCATACTGCAGTAAATGTTTCTGTCTGCTCAGGTTATGATGGCTTTGTCAAACCACCTGAATGCCGTGGAGTCAGAGAAACAGAAATTGCGTGCGCAGGTTCGTCGTCTGTGCCAGGAGAATCAGTGGCTGCGGGATGAACTGGCCAATACGCAGCAGAAACTACAGAAGAGTGAGCAGTCTGTGGCTCAACTGGAGGAAGAAAAGAAGCACCTGGAATTTATGAATCAGCTAAAAAAATATGATGATGACATTTCCCCATCCGTGAGTGACTCTGTAGTGAATGTGCTGCTGACATTTGCCATGCTGTGGTTAGTGAAGTATTGCAGTCGAGCTGAGAGTACACTCTTCTCCACCCTAGTGATTGCATTTAACAGGGTCAGGGCATGTGGGTCTGGACATGGTGTCCCTGGGCAAGTCATAGAGTTTTATTTGCCAGGTTCTTTTCACATGTGATTGTTAGAACAATGGTAAGAAGATGCAGAAATGCTTCGTAACTATAAGGCACAATGCAGAGAGGTGCCAGTGCCTGCAGTAAGGTTTGCCCCAGCTTGATTGGAGCTTCCCTGCCCCTCTGTAGTGGCTCCACACCCATCATCTGCTGGGTCAGCAGTAGTGACCCAGTCTAGCTGCCTCATCCTGACTCTGGATGAATCTCTGCTGCTTGTGGTGCTTTTGGTGTCACCTTTCTCTTTGGAACTCTCTCCCCTGCTCCTAGGACACCACCTGGCTCTCCAGCCACCTCTCGTGCCTCCCCTTGGCCTCTTTTGCCTCCGTATCTTTCTCTTTCTGGAATGTTAGGGTTCTTCACAGATACTGGTCTTTTTTTATTTGGCTCTATTTGGATGCTTATCGTAGTCTCAATTATTTCTCACTCACTGTTTCTGATTCAGTTAGCTAATTTTCTAAGAAAACTTTTATTTCTGCCATAATTTTAGATTGTCAAAAATGTTGAAAAGCTAGACAATGTTCGTATGCCCTTTACCCCTAATGTTAACATCTTATATAACCATAGAACACTGGTCAGAAGTAAGCCATTAACATTGCTGCTTTTCTACTGTGAACCACAGACTTGATTTGGACGTCACCGGTCCTTCCACTAGTGTCCCTTTTCTGTGCTAGCACCCAGTCCAGAATTCTAGGATTGCAATTAGAGCTAACTTTTAAAAATGCCTACCTAGTGCCAGGCATGTTCACATACATAGCTAATATACCAGAGTTCCACATTTGTGTCTCTAATTCAAATCCCCATCCTTAGGCTACTGGAACAGTTTTTTGCGTAGTACCAGCATATCTACACTTACTCACTGTCTTTATCTGCTTGGGCTGCCATAAGAAATAAGATAGTCTGGGTGCTTAAAGAGTTCTTTTCCCACAGTTCTAGGGGCTGGAAGTCTAAGATCAGGGTGCCAGCAGGGTCTGACTTGGTGTTGGCTTTCTTGCTGGCTTGCAGACTGCCACCTTCTCTCTCTGTTCTCACATGGTGGGGAGAGAAGGAGTAAACTTGTGGCATTTCTCATAAAGATGCTAATCCCATCATGAGAGCCCCACCCTTGTGACTTCCTCTAACCATAATCTCCTCCCAAAGGCTCCATCTCCAAATGCTATCACATTGAGGATTAGGACTTCAACATAGGAATTTGTGGAGAACACAGTTCAGTTGGTGACACCCTACTTCAATAGGCTTACCATTTCTCCCTCATGTCTTCCCTAGGTGGGAGGGGGGGCAACTAAATTTTTTTTTTTTTTTTTGAGTTGGAGTCTCACTCAACTCACCCAGACTGGAGTGCAGTGGCCGCTCCTGGCCACTGCAGCCTCGACCTGCTGGGCTCCGGCAATCCTTCCAGCTCAGCCTTCCAAGTAGCTGAAACTACAGGCATGCCTACCACACCTGGCTAATTTTTGATTTATTATAGAGATGAGGTCTCGCCAAGTTGCCCAGGCGGGTCTCGAACCCACAGGCTCAGGCAGTCCACTCACCTCGGCCTCCCAAAGTGCTGGGATTATAGGCTGAGCCACAGAGCCCGGCCAACTAAATGTTTTGATTTAGAAGACCCACTGCTGTAGGTTGCTATTGGGAATAAAATCACTTGGAGCTGTTGGTGTCAGGAGTGACTGACCTGGGACCCTTTAGAACATTGAGAAGGGGAAAGCTGATTTCATGGTGTTGGAGACTTAAACAATTTTTTATTTTGGAAAAACATCAAACTTGGATATACAATGAGCTAACTATCCCTACCCTTTCAGGATACTATGATTGTTTTTTGAACTGTGTTTACTTGGTGGCATAATGTATGCCACTTCTCCTTACTGCTGCCGGGCACCCTTCCCTAGGGAGAAGGGGCTCTCCTGTGGCAGTCCAAGGCCAGGGGCACTCAGGATGGTGCATACAGACCCAGGGCCAGGGGCACTCAGGACGATGCACACAGACCCAGCATTTCATCTCTTTTGTGGTCCATGCTCTGCTTTCACTGTTTTAACACATCCTTCACAACATTTTTCAGTCCTTTCCAGGGTCCTGCTCAGGATAACATCCTGCATGTAGTTGTCATGTCTCTTTGATTGTTTTTCATCTGGAACAGGGTCTCAGTCTATGTCTGGCTTTCATGACACGGGTGTTCTGAAGAATGCAGGCCACTTACTATATACATCATTCCTCAATGTGGGTTTGTTTATGTTTAGAATATGCATCCCAGGCAGGAATATTATGGAAATGATGTGTTTTTATCAGATTGCCCCTCCCGGAGCCAAACACTCTTCATCTGCCCCATGATGATGCTAATTTCTCACCTGGTGAAGCTGTTGTCTATTTTCTACATTGTGTAGTCACTCGTTTTACTCTTTGCACTAATCAGCTCCATGTAAGGAAACATGAGTTACACACTTTTATTTTTAGTATTTTTTAATCTCCACCAACATATACACTCAAGTCACAAGCCTTTTGAAGCTGGGAGGTTTCAACTCTCAGGATCCTGCTGGAGCTTGTTGTGGTGGGGGTCTAGCCCCTCCATTTCTGTGGTGGTCTGAGATGCTCTGTTTTACTTTGTTTCTGCAAACTTGGTTTCCAAATAAGATTTTGTTTCAAGTCAGGGTTTTCCTGTGCTCCTGGCCCTTCCAGAGAGTCTTAAGGCATAGAAATGTAACCATAGCCTATTTTGTCCAACACTGGCCTGCTTTTGCTTGTGCTCTAGTCTAGCGAGCTGCTTATTATTCCTTTTTTTTTGAGTCAGAGTCTCACTGTTGCCCAGCCTGGGGTGCAGTCGCATGCTCATGGCCACCACAGCCTTAAACCTACTAGGCTCAAGTGATCCTTCCACCTCAGCCTTACAAGTAGCTAGAGCCACAGGTGCCTACCACCATGCCTGGCTAATTTTTTAATTTATTGTAGAGACAAGGTCTCACCAATTGCCCAGGCTGATCTTGAACCCCTGGGCTCAGGTAATCCCTCACCTTCACCTCCCAAAGTGCTGGGATTACAGGCGTGAGCCACCATGCCTGGCTTATTACTCCTTAAACTGATGGATAAGCCAAACTGAGAATGATCCTATATTTGATGTTAAAAACAGATCATCTTTTCTGAGATTTTTAATTAAAATGGATTTAATATGAAATATTTTAAGGACAGGCTGTATAGTACATGTAAGCTGAAGGGTTGCTCTGGGTCTGTTTTATAGGAGGACAAAGATAACGATTCTGCCAAAGAGCCTCTGGACGACCTTTTCCCCAATGATGAAGATGATCCAGGGCAAGGAAGTGAGTGATGCATGATGTGGGCATGTGTCATGGGCAATAGAGAGGTGTTTTTCCCTCTTAGGGCATCATTTAGTTGTTAGTGGAACCTTAGTATGGGTAGCTTACCTCACAAAAGCCTGTGCCTTTTGTTTCACAAGAGAACTTAAGCAATTTTTGCTTGTTGGGATATAGTAATATGTTAGATGAGTCCTGGGAAACAGGGACATGCATACACAGTTCAGATATGATTGTAGAGAGTTCTTTCAGGACAAAGAGGTCAAAATTACTTTTTCTGCTGGTTTCATGGTACCAAGAGAAGTCTCATGGCACTGTCAGTGGCTGTGGTACCACCCTTGACAAGTCACTGCTGTTATGTTGCCTGCCCAGGCAGTAGTAGGAAAAGATTTATGTAGCACTGGGGCTAAATGCTAACTTGAACCACAGCTAGTGAAGAAAAATGTGAAGGAACTAACTCATTGGCTCTTTTTACAACCCCCTGATGTGCCCTTTGTCATGCAGTCCAGCAGCAGCACAGCAGTGCAGCTGCAGCTGCCCAGCAGGGGGGCTATGAGATCCCTGCACGGCTGCGCACGCTCCACAACCTGGTGATCCAGTATGCCTCACAGGGGCGCTACGAGGTGGCCGTGCCCCTCTGCAAGCAGGCGCTGGAGGACCTGGAGAAGACTTCGGGACATGACCACCCGGACGTGGCCACCATGCTCAACATCCTGGCCTTGGTCTATAGGCGAGTAATTTTCATTTATCTATGGAATTTTACCTGGTGACAATGTTTTAGCCTATTTGCCCTTAACATATATTTGTATGTCTGTATAAACTACTTTTCATCCATATCCACTTCTCTTTAAACAGCCAGCGGTTATATTAAAAATATTTAGCAAGCTCTGTGACAAAGGTATCACTGAGTCAGAATAGACACTGCCTGAAACTACCCAGTTCTGCCTTTTTAGAATAGCCCACATGTACCCTTCATCCCAAGCCAAACTAAGCTTTTTCCATAAGACTGTGCACTAGGTTTCTTTTGTCTAAGCAGCCTTCCCACCTTACCTGTCATTATCCTTCCCATCTTCTGAAGACCTGGTTAACTTTTCTCCTTCTGGAAATCTAGGATTCCACTTGCCCTTTGCACCTTTGTGATCCCCCAACTTCACCTCTACTGAAGGGCGCCTGTGGACTGCGAGTGGTGTAGTGGAAGGGTTCCTTTGGCTTAGTGCCCAGGATATAATAGGGGATTGGAGCAGGAGGCAGGGGTCTATTGAGGCCTGTGTGAGGTTGCTGGGGTGTGAAGAGGGGACCTGAGCAAGGATGGGAATGGTATGGATGAAGAAGAGAGCATGGGCCCAATGTCTCTTGAAGATAAATGCAGTGATACAGCTACTTGTATGCATAAGTAATTTCTTTTTTTTTTTTTTTTTTTTTGAGTTGGAGTCTCACTCCGTTGCCCAGGTTGGAATGCAGTGGCATGCTCACGGCTACCACAGCCTTGACCTGCTGGGCTCAGGTGATCCTTCCGCTTCAGCCTTCCAAGTAACTGGAACTACAGGCATGCGCTACTTTGCCCGGCTAGTTTTTTGATTTATTGTAGAGATGAGGACTTGCAAAGTTGCCCTGGCTGTTCTCGAACCTGTGGGCTCAGGTAGTCCCCTCACCTCGGCCTCCCAAAGTGCTGGGATTACAGGCTTGAGCCACTGCACCGGGCCCATAAGTGATTTCTTTAAAAAGAAGATTTGAAAGTTGACAAAATAAAGAAAACCTTACAAAAAAGAAAAGCACCCATAACAATACCTCTCAAAATGAGATCATGCTCTGCAACTCTCCCCCCCCCCCCCCCCCCCCCCC